TATGATGCAGATCATCCAAATTTTACTATGTTTTACAACCTCCTATAGATCGGCGGGAAATGTCCTGTGACTGATATTGTACTTATTTCCCAACCAAATCCGGATTATTTAAACAATAAAATTCATTCAACCTGTTCGAAAATAATAGAGGCATAAATTACATCATTAACTAAAGATGACGATAAATTGGAAATCAAGTAAATTTTTTTTTTTCACATAAATCAGTGTCAATTCACGCTATTGTAGCGAAGCGCAAGTAACTCGCTGCATCGGAAAGACAAGGAACATCATGCATTGTGAAAACGTTACAGCATCAGGCAAACAAGATATGTGGCTGCATGGAGGTTCTGGATTTGCATGCAGTTCCATATTATGCTGTAAGTTATACTTTTAGCAATTGTGGAAAAATGGAAAGGCCATATATGCGATTGCAAATTACCAAGGTGAGGTCACTTTGCTTCAAATATTCTTTACTTCAACTCAAAAACTAGCTTTTGGGTACCCATCTTGTTGTCCAGGTGACAAGAATTTCGTTTTTAACAATTTTTAGCTTGATATTAAGGAAGAATGGTTACAACTTTGCACCTGTTGTGCTTTACCTTTGGGCGAATATAGCGGCAAGTACGATTTTATTGATGCATGACAACTCGGTTTTACGGCTGGTGCTCACTTTGCGGGGGGAATAGATTTGCATACGTAGTAAGCATAAATATTATGTTAATTTATATTGATAATCATTTGATCAATTATGAAATAAATTTCTTGCTTATCTCATTCAACATCCAATTACATTGGATGCTAATCAATCTAAATCCTTAAACGACCCGTGTGGCTTGATGATGATTTAATTTTTCGGTCAGAGAAATGCAATTTATTACCATTATTATTTTCTGAAATAATTCATTTTACCGAGTTTAGTAATATAAAGTTAGTTACAGTTCGTGTTAAATGTCTTGCAAATACTAAAGTAGACAAAACCAAGATTGTTCGAGTTGTAAAAGTTCATTGAAAATTTCAATTTCAAATTACTTACAAGTTAAATTAGTCAATAATAAAGGCGTCGAAGAAAAAAGTAGAAGTCGAAGATTTAAGGTTTTCTATGTTTGTTATTCATAATTTTATTTATATAAACAAATTTTCTATCTTATAATTGTTGCATCAATTACAAAGCCAAAAATTCAAACTATTAAAAGTAATAAATTAGCTAATTAATTAATGATATTATTATAGTAGTATCATTTAAAAAATTAGTTTGTTGTTGTTGTTTGTTGTTGTTGTTTTTATTATTGTAATAGTTGTTGTTATTGTTATTTAATAGCTGATTGTAATCATTGGTGACAACGTAATTTTGATGATGGTTTAATTATTACGGTTATTTCTGGCAGAGTTTTGGTGAGTAGTCCTCATAGCATCATTTGGAGCATGGTTGGGGAGGCCATTATTGCCAGGTATTCTGTGAATGGGGTTATTTTTACGAACGAAATCACTGCTGCTATAATATTGATGAATATTGATTTGATAAGCATCATTATTACTGGCAGAGTACTGGCTAACCAAATGATTGTGAAGCAGGTTGTTATGAACGTGATTATTAGAGTCTTGATTATCAAAAATAAAACCATTAATCCAACCATCGTGATTATTATTATTATCCATTTTTTTGTAAATTTTTTTTTATTATGGATTTATTAATGTGAAATTTTTTTTTTAGATATTTATTGATTGTATTTTTTTTTTTTAAACAAAATTTGTCTATTCGAAATCTACCTTTTTATGTATGCTAAATTTTTTTTATAAAATTTTTAATTTTTTCCGAATATATTGATTTTTTTTTTTTGAATTTGAAAACTATGTTGAATCTAAAAAGTTTATAATTTTAAAGAAACCTACA